CGCTAATTATTCAGCCATTTCCGTAGAAAAATTTGCTTCATATAAAGCTTATACTGCGGCATCAATTTGTGTAAGTGCAGCATTTTATTTTTAGCTACTTGATAAATGTAAATTTTATAATCTTTTTTAGGCAATATTTTCAGTTGCACCCCGCATAAGAATTTTTTTTCGTCATTAGTTTATTATATTTACTGCTCCAGAACTTGTTGATAAAAAACAAAAAGCAAATCAATCATAATGTTTTACCAAATCCGCTAGGATATTACTTACCTTTCTGCGGTAATAATTTGAGGTATTTTGGAACTAAATTCAAACCGGTTTGGTTTTTGGTTAGATAATTATCTCTTAAAAAAATTTTTTTATTTTTTATTACTGCCGCGCCAAATATTGGATGCGAATGCCGTTCAATTATATTTAAAATAATTCTTTTTTATTCAGTCACTTTTTTTATTGTCTTGTTTTTCTTCCATTCAAGTAAAATTATTTATCGCTCAAAAACTTGTTTTGAAAATTTCCGGATTTTTTGAGTTTTGATCTTAAAAGATGTTTAATTACAAATAAAAATTCATTTTCGTAAAATTCTTAAACTGAGATAATTTATTTACACGAAAACATCCTTCTAATGCAATTATATTTGGAAATTATATTTAGTAAGATTTTTTTTTTTTAAAAAAGAAAAAAGAAAGGATACATTTCTTCTTTGAATCGTAATTAAATGTAAAATTGAAACTTGTAGAGAAATTAGTTATTAATTGCGGATAATTGGTATATTAGAATAAATTTTGGTATCATAGAAAATAAACAAATTTATTTTTTTTTAAAAAAAGAGACATCACGAAAAAAAATTGATTATATAAATTTGGCGATTACAATCAATGTTACACTGAGTTGTGCTGTCAACATATATCTGGTCCTATAGTAGTAATATTTCTATTAAAGATTTTATATAATAATTTTCGATACATTTTTATACTTTAATATTTTCGCTCCAAATTTTACAAAAACTTTTTAAATTATTGTTTCTTTCATGTAACAGCTCGTTTTTTCCAAAAAAAATTTATCATTTACGTTTCAAGAAATAATTAAATTTTTTTGTGCACAGCCCTATAAATATATAATTTTTTCTTTGTTATTTTTAAGAAAGCGAGGTGTCATATAGTTTTTAGGGTATAATGTATTCATTTAATTTGTCTGAATGCTAACTTAAACCAAAGTTATTAATTAGGAGTTTTTATTAAGAAAATCGTAATAATAGTCAGAAGTTTCACAAAATCTTCAATAGTAAATTTTACTATAGGTCCATATTTAGTTGACCGCACACCCCAATTTTACACGGCTTATAAAGCATCTCGCCATTAATAGCACAAATTATAATATCTAGAATTGAAAATTTCGAAGTAAATTTAGCTCAGCTGGAATTGGACACTGACTTCAAATATACTTTTGTAACAGGAGCATAAACATCACAATTGAAGAAAATATATAGTAACGAGTTTGATATATGATTCGATATCAATTATTTAAAACTCCGGTAACGATTTCTCGACTTGTTGTAAACATTGTATCGAGTATCGGAACATTAAGATAATCAGGACAAGCTACAGCAAACCAACATCTTTATTAATTGATGTAGAATAGAATTGACAATGAAAAGTATAGCAAATAGAATGAGTACCAAGCAAAAATTTTGCTTCATGGAGATGGTTGGTCAGTTCCTTTTTGATAAGAAATTTGCTTCATGATTATTGATTAAAAGATAAAGGTTTTAAAAAGAAATAAAATGCTTTTAAATTTCACAAAGCAATGCACTCGATAGTGATTGTCTCTTTATAAATTACTTTAGGAAAAATATCATTTTATTCTAAGTTTATTCTTACGAGTAAAAAAAGGGAAAAAAAAAAATTTAATAATTGTGGATCTTCGAAATTTTTTTTTTATTTTCTTTTGTTTTTATTATTGCTTTAACTTCAAAATTTTAATTGTGACGCAGAAGTTTTTATAGTTATAATTATAAAAAATTGTCGAACTGTAATAGCTTCTTGAAATTAAATATACTCATCTATACGAGTATTGATTACTGTCAAAATGGTGTAACTGTTAGAATATAAATATAGCAGATTACAAAAATTCGTCAACTATAATTTACCATCTACTTGATAATAGTATAACGCTAGCAATTGGATTTACTGTCCTTTAGATATTATGTATGTTTAGATCAAAAATTCCAACCTTCTGACCACCATATAATAAAAATGTGCGTCGATCTTGTTAATCATCAGGTATAATGAATATTTGACTTTGCTTTTTTTTTTAATAATGGATTTATAGTTGCGGGGCAAAACCCTAAATCTATTTTGGCAAAAGTAGAAACTTTTCAAAATTCTTTCGACAGTTTCGATGGGTTTCGACGGTTCGATAACACCTTTGCGAATTCTAAAAAAGGACGTGAATATATGATTATGTGATGATGGCCAGCATTAACTAAACTATATTGTGGACATAGTCGATATATGTTTATTTTTTATCTTAAAAGGAAATAAAATTTTAAATATAAACGCGAGCAGCTTATTTCCTAGATCATAAGCTTACTTTTTCCTTAAATTCATTTATGTAGGATTCTCAACAAATAGAATCGTTCAAAATTGACGATGATTTTGAAGATTTTCACCCGGAAGAAACTGAACCATTATTTTTAATCTTTAAGGAAAACCTATAAAAAAGAACGATCATGTTTGGAAGCGCGCGAGCTTTGACATGTTCGTCAAACGCTTTATAAACATTTTTACATGTGCACTTGTTTTCTTGACGAACTTATTTAGTTTGAAGAATTCAAAATATGTTAATCATTAAAAAAAAAATAGATCATTAACAATAAATAATTACTTGCATTTCATAACAAGATAATCATCTACCAATATTCAGAATCCATTTCTTAGAAATCCGTTAGAAATGTGTTCCATAATACTTCTATCGGTGTTAACGGATCAGTCTGTCGGTCTTCGTCGTGTTTAACATTTGTCAAATCATTCATCATATTGACTTGTTCTTTTAATAATTGTAAGTTTTTTGACGGAATCCACCAATAGGAGTATCAATTTAAATTTTTTTTTATTTTAAAAAATGCCCTGCTTTGAAAATATCTATGCTTTTAACAGGCATTATTATTTTTTTTTAATACCTTTCTGGTTCGATCTTAAAGAAATAAGCTTTTAATTAATTTTATTAGCATTACTTACAGTGATCGAAAGTTTTTTTGATCTTTTTCAAAACTATTCTTTTATTAATCATTAGGTTCTCTTAAATAAGCGTTTTGAATTTTTTTTTAGATCAGGTCGCTGCGATATAATAATTTATTATTTCTTCATAATTAATTGTTCCTATCTGAGTTGGGTCACTTTGGATGAAATGGCTAAGATTATTTTCATTCTTTTCTTTATTTATTTCCTGATTTTTATGGGTAATTGTTTTTATTTTATATTATTTCCTTTATTGGATCGCATAGGATAATATGCAAAATTTTTGATACAACATACGTTGGGCCCTTCTTTTTTATTAAGTGTATTCACTCAATACAATATTGTAAATAAATCAAGAATGAAATTTAAATATGTGGCTTAATTAGATTGAAAAATACTATGAATACAAACATGTTAGCAACGTTCAACTGTTGTTACTGACAGCTTTGGAAAAGTATATAGTGCAAATTATAAGTTCAAAACATCTTGCCAAAATTTGTATTTATAATAATTTAATTTGAAACTCAATATTGATTTTTCGTAATAATATTATTCCCTTTGAAGAATCACAACTTACTGTAAATACATTTTGGATTAAAAATTACTTTATGTCCAAGTTTTCAATGACCTACATTATAAATTTATGCATAATTCCAACCGAAATTATGTTCAAAATTATTTCCAATTAAGAAAATACCGAAACTTTCCCGGTTAATAACATTTCTGATCGCAACGTCATGTAATAGCACAAACGTTTAAAATATGCATTAGAAAGTTTCTATTTCATTTTTAAGTTGAGGGTAGATAGAAAACCGGTACGGTACGATTCGCCAGACCAGTACGGTACCGGTTTTCCATATACTCTTAAGTTGATAAATTTATTGGATGGCTTATTGTGATACAAACCATACAAATTATTTTCATGTAGGGGTGAATATTTAAATACATATAACAATAGATAGACAAAAATAGAAATCAACGATCGACCGGGCACTTGAAAGACTTTAGAAATCCATTTGTAAGGGATTCGTTAAAAAACTGGTCATACAACAAACAGACAAAAACAAATAGGCCAGAAAATAAAGAATGCCAGTTGTAAAAGAAAAGTTTGTTTTTGTTCATATTCTAATGAACCAAACTCGTGAGCACCTTTCTAGACGTCAAAAATTGTAAGCGATAATAATTCTAGTGTTAAATTTGTCAGTGCAAAGATTGTAAAAATTTTTTCTCATTTATTAAATTAACATTCGATGGAATCAAACTTGCAATAGGTTAGTTACCTTTTAAAATATCTGTGCCATTTAAAATATGAACAATAAATAATATTTTTATTTAATAATAGATGATAAACTAAGTGAAGCTATAATTACAATAATGAAGGAAAAACTGTAGGTTATATGTATGAATAGTTTTGAAACTCGTTTCAAAAAAAAAAAATATTTTATTTTTAGAAAAAAATTTTACAATTTGGTTTTATTTAAATCATGAGATAAATTTCTTGCTACACACGAAGCTTTTATAGAAAATTTGTTTCATAAAATGTAGTACTACGTTATACAGTATATTAAATAAAATAATTTCTAAACACAAATATTTACTGGCTAAATATGCTCGAACTATATGCAATAGACACAAGCAATTTTTACGCATATAAAGCAACTTCGAAAATATATAAACAGCAAGAAATCGAAAAGATATACTGTTTGGCCTTTTGAAAAAAAATTTTAATTATTGAGACAAAGAAAGGAGATCTTTCCAAATAAAATGGTTTTTTTTTTTTCGCTGCATACAAGAATTAACAATGAAAAACTCGGTCATCATGCAGCAATTCTATGTCACAACATTGATCAAACTTTATTTTAATAGTTGCACAAAGATTATGATACACAAAACCTTTCTGTAAAGCTGCAAGGCTGTGACATTCCTTATCATGAACCTCAAGAATTTAATAATTTTTCTATAATTGGTTCTGGAAGTTATGCTTCAGTTTTTGCTGCGCATTGGAAAAGAACTACAACAAAACTTGCAATTAAACAATTTGCCGAAAGTTCTACTAATGAAATTATTTTAATGAGGTTTGATATTTACTGATATAGTTTATTAATATAATATATTTCGTTATTTCGATTAAAAATATTTTTTTCTAGATTCATATAATGGAAATTATGAGAAAAAAATTTTTTTTACATCCAAATATAATTCGATTTCATGGAATTACGAAATCAAAAGGTAAAGTAATTATTATTTAGTGATTTTTATTTGAAGTACTTTTGTTCACACATTTATATAATTGTTTTTAGATGAAATAAATTATGCGCTTATACTTGAATACGCGGATGGCGGAACGTTAGGAAAATATTTAAGAGACAACGCCAGAATTTTTAAATGGGAAAGGCAAATGGAATTTGCCAACGACATTGCGAGTGCGATTTTATGGTTACACGGCAATGAAATTATACATCAAGATCTTGTAAGTTAATTAATTATTAACTATATTTGATTTTATTACATTAATAATAATTTTTTTTTTATTTTAGCATTCCAATAACATTTTGATCCATAAAAGTGCAATAAAAATAGCGGATTTTGGATGTTCAAGTTTCCAAGGATCAGATACTAAAGCAGCACGTGGGGTGATACCTTATATGGAGCCTAAAACTTTTGAAGACCCTTTATTTAAATTAACCGAAAAATCGGATATTTATAGCTTAGGAGTATTGTTCTGGGAATTGACAAGTTGTTCATCACCGTTTAATTTTGAAACTACGGGTAATACTTTTTCCATTCAGTTGGAAATTCTTGATGGCAAAAGAGAAAAGCCGATTTCAACCACAAATGGTAGATTTGTTAAACTTTATCAAAGTAAGATTCATTTTTACTTTTGTCATTTTTATCACTATCGATTACAATTATCTTTAATTTACTTATTTAATAGGATGTTGGAAGCATGAACCAGACGAAAGACCAAATATTGATCAAGTAATTTCAGAACTAAATAGCATTGATCCTAAAAGTCATTTTGATTCTAAAGAATATGAAGATAATGAAATAATAGATGAATTAGAAAATGAAGATGACCTTTCAGGTTGCGACGTACAATTATATATATGACTTAGACAAATAAGTAGATGGAATTGATTCTCTCTTTTTTTATGAATTAACTTGATTTTTAATTTTCGTTTTTTATTCTTTTGAAACCAATCTCAAAATTGTATTTTAAGAAACAGTTTTCTTTTAAAATTTTATCTTTATTGCGTTAATAAACGAACATTTTGTGAATTGTACTTAAACGTATATAAAATTTTACTTTTTGAAAAAATTTTTATTGTTAAAATTTGACTTTTATATTTAATTGCTTGAGAAGATAGTAATAAAAAAGTAAATTGTAGTAATTATAATAATGAGAATATTGTAAAATAAAATCTTGATTGCTGCGCCACGAAGCGATATACTTGTCAAATTGATCCAATCAGAAATAACCTAAATAAGAATCAGGTGAGATTTTTATTTTTATTTTTTTATTAAGTTTCCGTTCGATCGAAAAGTAATAATCAATAAAGATCTAACCATAAGAAAATTTTATTAAGGGTCCTTTATTCGTATGCAAAAACATAACCTTATCTAATAACTAGACTATCTAAAAGTTGAATAAATAATAAACTTTCACATATAAGGTTAAGTAATATGGATGGTAGATCGAAACTATTAGTATTGTATTGTGAATTTAATCAATTTAGTATTATAAATATTTTTTATAATAATTAATTCATTTCAACAAATGATTTCCTTCGTCAATAAGAAAATTGCGTAACTTTATTAATCTTTTTAGATTTATTTTTTTTTTTTTCAAACGTTCTTTAGGCCATGCAATGCAACTTCGATTTTTCGGCCACGTCACCCGGCCGGGTCACCTTTTCAATTTTAGCAAAAAAAGTTTATATATAAAAAGTTTATCATGTGGCTATAAAGTGTAATTTTATTTATAATTCCTTTTCTTACAACTCATTAGCTTTCCAAGCAATACATTGTGCTGAAATTTTTCCTGCAACTAAGTTTTTGATGGGCTAAGCTTCACTTCAAAATCTGCTTCCCACCAGTCAGGTGATGAATATAGAATCGATATATTTCCAAAAAAAAACTTTTCTTTTGTTTCTTTCTCAACGGGTAAACCTTCCCAATCCTTCAAAACTTTAGAATTATAACTTATTTTTACATGTATAATAGACATTTTGACGGAGTTAAGATGATTTTGAAATGAGATGTGATTGTCATATGATTAGGCCAGGCAAAGAGAATTTAAAATTGACACGGTCACCCGGTTTTTTTGTATTATTATATGTATTGCTATATTCTATATTACACAAGTAAAGATAAATCTATGTAAATCTTTCTTTAGCCGCTTTCTTTTAAACAAAATCTGATATGCCGATTTTATTATGTAAGGTCACATGATATAAATTTTACTATAAAAAAAATCCTGTATTTTCATAAACTGACACGGCCGGGTCATAAAATCTGAAAATTTACTTTGCACAATATAATACTTAGTTTTATTAAAAAACATTTTTGATTTTTATAAAAACTATTATGGCTGTTTTCAAAATGGTGTGATCAGGTGATTTGTTATAATAAAAAGGGATTTTTAGGTTATACAAAAGTAAATTAAAAAACTTTCTTATCTTGAAGAAACTGTTTTTTTCAAAACTTTTTAACTTTTATTAACCTTCATAATCTAGAGTATTTTAAGCCTTATATATTAGTAGGGTTTAATATGTAAAAGTTTCTTTTAACTTATAAAATGATTTCTAACTTCTTGGCGATTTCAAAATGATTCCCTAGTAATTACTATAATTATTAATAAGATTTCTGTTACGATTTCTCAGTAAGTTTTCTTTTAAAAGCTTTGATTTAGCTTATACTTATCTTTTTTTTATAAAATATACTTTAAGAAATAGTTTTTTGTAAAAGTTTTTATCATTTTTATAATAATTTATTTTAACATGAAATTTTTGATTTTTTAGAAAATGCAATAAATGTTAATTATTTTATAAATTTAATATGAATATATTTGGTATTTAAATTACTAGAAAAATTATTTAATTTTGAAAAAGATTCTTTATTTTTTCAATAATTAGATTTTATTATATAATTAGTTAATGTAACATTTATTTTTTTGTTTAATATTACTTTTTTTTTATCTTTTTAAGTGTTGTTTAAATATTTACTTATATTTTTTAATTTATTTGTTATTTTCAATGTAAAAAATTCATTTTTCTTAAAAATTATATTTTTATATATTATTTATACTTTTAAAAGAATATTAAAAATCTTAATTTTAAAATACAATTCATGTATAAATTAAAAAATTTTTAAGTATAATATAATTTGTATAACTATAATTACATTAAAATATTTTTATATTTTATCAAAAGTTTTAATATATAAATTAGTTGTAAATAAATTAAATTAAAAAATTTTCAATTTTATTGTATTTTAATATTATTAAATTTTAATCAAAACTTTTCAAGATTTGATTTTTGGCAAATTTTCTATATAATGTATAATTAAATTGAATAATTTATTATACTTTAGTATTAATTAATTTTGATAATATCAAATTAATCATGTTAATTTAACATTTATTATAAAATAATTATATCTATCAAAAAATTATTTATCTATTAAAATATATTTAATTAGTAATTTGTTAATTTACTTTAAAGTATAAATTTAATAATTAAATAATTTAATAAAATATTAAATTATAATTAGTTTTATTAGTTTTATTTAATATAAATAATTTTTTATCAATAATATTATATTATTATAATCTATTAAAATTAACTTAAGTTGACTAATTAATTAAATACATATATAAAATAACTTATTTTAAATTAAAAAATTATTTTATTTTTAATTAATTTATATAATATTGATATATATTATTTTAATTAATTAATCTTTTAAAAATTTATTAGCATTTTAAATTAAATTTTATATATACAGTCAGATTTTTATATAATCACTAAATTGGTTATACTCTTTAATAGTGATTGCATAGAAAAGTAACTATAATTATTAATCTCTATTTAATTATACTATATTAAAAATTATTTATGGTGATTATATAAAGAATTTATAAAATTTATTATGATATATAAATAATTAATATTAAAATGATTACTTGTTATTTATTGATTATTTTAAAGCATTATTTTTTAACAAATTCTTAATTTTCACAAATAAAAAATTAGTTATTAATACTGTATACTCTCAAAAATAAGCATCCCTCAAAAATAAGCACCTCCATATTTATATATCCTTTGAAATTAAGCACTCCCGAACATTATATTAAATTTTATTAAATTCATATAAAAGATTATTATATTTACAAATAAAAGGGAAAAATAAGCTATAT